ACACTTTAGGGCCACCACTATTCGGGTTAAAGTATTCAGCAACTACAGCAACCCACCGAGCAAAAATTGAATTACGAACGTAAGGGCAAAATCATCCAACTTTTCCTACATAACCTGAAACATGAAAACAAAAATATCAGTATGTTCAAAAAATTAAAACGAACAAACTGCCTGAAGAGAGTTTGGCTTAGAAATGCTCCACGCGCCCCCCATGCGCCGCCACTCTACCCTGCGCGTGGTGTTCATGCGCCGGTCACCCACCAGCTCCTCGACCTACTGAACACGCTGGTGGTCTTAGATTTTTCAAATGGTCAATGGTTTGGCCGGAATATCCAATTGCAGGTCTGGTTTTCTTGCAAAAATCTGGACAGATTCACTGCTTCAGTTTCTGCCGATTTTTGCTGGTTTTCTGGTCAATATTTGGCCTGAAAAATCACCCTAACCTAGCTCTGATACCAAATGTTGAATTTGAGGCTCCAATCTTTGATTTCCCGGGCTCAGTCTACACCAAAACGACACCACAAAGCAACAAACCATAACTCACAACCGTCACCTTCCTAAGCCAACTGGTTGCTCTCGATGGCAGCCCACAAAGGGCTGGGTGTGGGGTTTAATATAGCCTCAAAGATCAGCAACACAGGCTAAAGGAAGAAGTAGAGAAGAAAGCACGAAGGCAGGGAAGCACGAAGCAAGACACGAGACTGAGGTGCCTTTTCTTCTCTTAAAACCAAGGGCTAATTCCACACACGAGAAAACAACAGTAATGGGCAGCATAAATAGTAGCAATGGTGGGCTTTTAGGTTTAGGGGATAATAGAGGCCCAATAAGTGGGCTACCAACCGAAAAAGCCATCCAAGTCTTTTAGGCCGGGCCATGAACAACCCTAATTAAATTAGGCTGCTTCAAATGGTCCAATTAGGTTGTGGGTTTGGATCGAACTATTGTGGTGTCGATATTTCTCTTCACTCATCGGCCGAAGCCTATGAAGTATAATCCAACAAGAAACGGTTTAACATCATAGCCCGGATTTATTG